GTGTGTGTGTGTGTGTGTGTGTGTGTGTGTGTGCGTGCGTGCGTGCGTGCGTGCGTGCGTACGTGCGCGTGTGCGTGTGTGTGTGTGCGTGTGCGTGTGCGTGTGTGCGCGCACGCGCGTGCGTGCGTGCGTGCGGGTGTGCGTGCGTGTGTGTGTGTGCTATATGATATATCCACACAATATATATGCTATATCTACACTTAGCAAAGATATCTATGGCACACACCTACGATGCAGGCACGAGAGCCGTATATATTTGGATTTGCCCACCCAACGGCCTGGGCCCTGGTTTGATAGCTGCATGCATAGAATATTATATTGACAGCGATGCGTAACTTAGAAAATATATGGCATTCTTTAAAAAAAGTTGTAAAGGCGGGTCGTGTTTCGAGGTCATAGTTTCTCAAACTTTACGAATTTTCGCTTTACTCCTGCTATGTAAGAGCATGTATGATCGACGAGCAAAGTTTAGTTATGCCCCCTCCACTTCCCTGGGGCGTGTACAGGGGGGGGGGTCCATGGGGTCCGGACCCCCCGTCCGGCCCCTGCTCGCGCAGAAAACGCATCTAAGGGGGTCTAATTTCAAAAAATTTCGCGTGCTCGCAAGTTTGGGTTACGGTTAGACCCCTTCCCCCCCGGTGCAAATCCTGTACACGCCCCTGCTTCCGGCACCCTTTACATGCCACTATACATAGTCTATACCCAGCGCATGGCGTACTTTTGCTGATGTAATGATGTAAATACATGCGCTTTTCTACATATATATAGTATTACAAGCATATATTTCTCTCATATGTGATTGCGCCACCGGAGACCGCTCCGTCTGCCTTTCGTCTCTTCGCTTTTCACAAGTGGTGTGCGTCACAAAATAGTACCCAATCAGAATCGCTATAAGATTTGTGGGTGTCGTTCGGCCATATTGATTGATGTCACTTGCCGGAAGACCCGCGTCAAGTTGAGAAGGGTGTGTACTTTCAGATTAGTTTCATGCCTGCGTGTTTACATTCGCATCGGAAATTTTTCAGTGCTGGGTCCGATAGAAGTATTTTAGAGTGTGTAAAATTTAATCAGGTAGGTGCCAGTAGCAGTAATACTAATACTAATAGTTGCGATTGATAACCACGATCCTATTTGAACGCAGTCTCAATCGGCACATGTTATTGTGGTTCAAGGAACATACCTAACTTGTATATAAATATTACTTAGTGGTACTGGTAGCGATAACGATAACGATTCCCTCGTAACCCGACGATAGGCAGTGTATCAGTAATAGAGTCAGATACGATATCGTTACCCGTGTAAACCTTTTTGATGGGGCTATAGCCTATACTAATACTGTAATACTAATACTATCGTATCCATGTAAATTCAAGTTGTAATGCGTGTTTTTCTTGCAAGGATTCCGATAACGCTGACAGGTCTAGCTCTAGAACTGGTTCAAGGATAGAGATGATATGTCCAGGACGGTGATTGGATAGGATGATGTTTATTACTGGACATGCTCTCCAGTGTTGTAGTCGAGTCCGCACCCCCCGAGTCCGAGTCTGAGTCCGAATCCGCACCCCCCGAGTCAGAGTCCGAGTCCGCGCCACCCGAGTCCGAGTCCGAGTCCACACCACCCGAGTCCGAGTCTGAGTCCAGTTTTGATAAAAAAAGGGAAAAAATCGGGAAAAAAGGGAAACATCGGAAAAAAGGAAAAAAATCGCAACAGTGCATCGTAGACATTCGAAGTGTATAGGATGTTTCAGTGCGTCATAGGTCTAGGTCACGTGTAACTGCTGTGTAGTTTGGCAGAAAGCGACAGCGTGTGCTGCCTTGACATTGTACAGATGTAATGACCGACATGTCTTTTTGATAAAAGCGCTGTTTATCGGTAGTGCGCGTGCATGTGCGGGCTGCGTGCGTGCCGTGTGCAGCGTACACGATGTGTGCATGCGTTCGTGTGTGCGTTGTGTGACACTTAAGCACGTCGTGCGTGGCGGTGCGTGGTGTGCGCGTGTGTCAGGTACACGTTCGTTGCGTGCGTGCGTGTGGGCAGTGTACACGTGTGTGCATGTGTGGCGTGCGTGCGTACGTGCGTCGCGTGTGTATCGTACATTCGTGCGTGCATGCGTGCGTGTGAACTTAACGAGCGTGCATTGCCGTCGTGCGTCCGTGTGTTGTGCACGTACTATGTGGGCATGCGTGCGTGTGTGCGTGTTGCAGGTACACTTCGTGCGTGCGTGCGTAACGTGCGTGCGGTGTGTGGCGTGGTGCAGGTACACGTGTGTGCATGTGTGCGTGCGTAGCGTTACGTGGCGTGGTGTGGTGCAGGTACCGTTCGTGCGTGGTGCGTGTGGGCACGTTATACGGCGTTGCATGTGTGCATGCGTGCGTGTGCACCGTACACGTGCGTGGCTTTGAGTGTGTGCGTGCGTACGTACAGCGTGGTGCGTGCGTCGTGAAACTTACACGAGCGTGCATGTGTGCGTGGCGCCATGTGTGTGCCGGTACACGTGCATGGCGTGCGTGTGCAGGTACACGTTCGTCGCGTGCGTGCGTCCGTGTGTTGCGTGTGGCAGGGTACACATGTGTTGCATGTGTGCGTCGCGTGGCGTGGTGTGTGCTGGTAACACAGTGTGTGCGTGCGTGCTATGCATGTGCGCATAGACGTGGCGTGGTGTGTGCGTGTTCACGTACCGTGCGTGCATGGGGAGCGTGCGTGCGTGTGCACGTACCTGTGCGCGTGCATAAGTGTGTGCGTGCGTGCGTGTGTACGTACACGTGCGTGCATAAGTGTGTGCGTGCGTGCGTGTGTACGTACACGTGCGTGCATACGTGCGTGCGTGCGTGCGTGCGTGCGTGTGCTTGTATCGAACAATATCACGCATCTGCTTGCTGCCAACCGTTAAACTGCGCATGTGCACATATATGACGTCAATGTTTATAAACATGAAACATTGCCATAGTCAGCCGAAAACACAAAGACACGAGTCATACGAAACGTGTCAAAGTATCGAATCCATTTCTGTTTTATGTGAATGACATGGCTTGTTGAACCAAATGAGAGAGTGCTAGTACCTTCGAAGTGGTAGAAGAAGAGAAAGAAGTGGTAGAAAAAGTGCAAAGGGACGAAGTGACAGCAGATTCAAACCAAAGGGACAAGAATCTTAATCGAGCCATTGAAAACGTTACAAGATTAGGCCGTGTATCTAGAAAATCTAAGAGTTTTAGTTTTAAATTCTTGTAAACTGCGTGTTACAATATGTACAGTTGTGTACTATGTATGTAGTGGCCTCGAGCCGGCCTCGACCCGAGTCCTCGAGTCCGGAGGGCTCAAGTCCGAGTCCGAGTCATTGCACTCCGAGGCCAAGACCGAGACCGAGACCAAGGAAAACGGTCTCGAGTCTGGTCTCGATGACAAGACCGGCCTCGAGACCTACAACACTGATGCTCTCCCTAGACTCCCTTCGCTCTGCCACAGACACTGCCACATCACACATGTAGCAGAGCGAAAGGCTATAGTTCTAGAGCTATGAAAGGTCAAAATTAAATACAATAACGTTTGCTTAGGTATTATAAGTATAGCCCCTCCCTAGCCACAAGTTTCCTTCTCGCTTAACAATACTCACTACGTTCTCAAAATAACAATTATTTGAAGTGGGTTTATTTACATCAAACTTTACACGTATTGCGTAACCATTCCCATCAACAATGGTGCAAGTGGTGATTGAATCAAGGTGCCGAATTCGATGCCAAGATGGTACATGAAACCCTCTTCATGATGTTTAACTTTGTACTGTAGGTGCGCTATGTTATTTCGAAACTATACACGGAAAACGAATTGGGTGGCACGTTAGAACCCTGACGTTTTATTTTCTAGGTGCACTTTGATATATCGAAAACAAAGCTTTAAGTTACTGGGCGACACACACACCCCGCCGTCAAAATGATGGCCGATGGCAAACTCATCGATGGAAGCTGGGAGCTTACCATCCATGTGACAGATCTGGATATCTCCCGAACTCTGCGAGTGATGGGCGACCTTCACATCGGTGGAGTCATGTTCCGTCTCGTCGAAGAGCTAGGTAGGAACAAGTAGTCTTTGCTCAGAATCTACAGTCGTGTGTTATCTATTGGAGTTTGAAGGTCGTGGTTGAATGGCTAAGTAGATAAGCTCATTACTTTGGTACGGTTAGAGGAGAGAAGGGTGTTGGAGGGAAGAGGGAGATGGGGAGAGTGAGGAGCACAGGGATGGGGATGTCGTGAAGTGAGCCACTGAGTATACTTGATAATTTATTAGGGTGCAGTGTGTATTTTGTAGTCTTCACATCTTAAATGTTATAAGTGATTGAAGAGTAGGACATTTTAAATATGTAAAATATTTTGATAGTGCAAGATGAAGCCTTTGCAGATGAAAGTGTAAATAGTAATAAGAAGGAGCTATGTAATGTTAAGCATGCTTTTCTTAGATTTAGAATGCTAGCACTTCTGCAATGCACGTCTGCCAAATTTTCTTTGGACATTTGCTGAAAAAACATGGTGATTCCGCCAGGCCGTGCTCTGGAATGAACTAGTTAGTATAGCTGAATTTTTTAGGGAGTCACACGGACTTCTGCATATGTCAAATCAGGGAGTCAGACAGTAAATCGGGGAGTATTTGACTCTGTGCTGGTGTTAATTTTGCACCCTGCACTGTGTTATATAATTCAGTGTTTCCCCTGCATTGACACGAGCGAGGCGGGCCGTCTCGCTCAAATTCTCAGCCGCCACACAGAAATTTGTCCAAAACACCACCTTGCTGATGAAAATCACTGTTCTTGCTAATGCACCAAAATAGCTTAGAATGCACCAAATTGCACCTTTTTTTTTAATTCTGGGGGGCATGCCCCCGGACCTCCCTAGCTGGGCTAGGACCTGCTGTGCTCACGTTGCTAGGACCTCGAAACGCGCAAAAAACACCAAAAAACGCCATGGGAACACTGTGATTCATAGTTGAGTGATGCGATAGGGACCTTTTCATGTCCTCTCTAGTATGGTGTTTTAGGTTACAAATTGTACCATTGAGCTTAATTAGTAATTCACACACACGCACGTACACATACACGTACACATGTAGTGGCACGGGCACACTCGCAAATGTAGACACGCTTTGCAAAGTAGGGAAAATGGCAAGAAGTGGTCCTGTATCCTGATATCTGATTTCCATCTAGTTTCGCTAGTTGTTGATTCATACATTTCACAAGGTACCTGTCTGAGAAAAAAATAAGTTGGGCATGGTAGGGGAATATGATTGTTGTCTCTAGTAGCATGTGTGAACTCACATCTATTGATGTACAGTGCGACAAAGTGAAGTCATCTGTCGGACACAGCATGGACCTCACTGTTTGGGTTGGGTGTATAGTAAATTCCTGTCCTTGATTTGCTTGGCATACACGCATTGCCTCAGGCTACTGTCATTGCCAGTCTTAGCAGGATAGTGCTCAGTAATCAAGTAAGGTGCTAAAAGGTCTCTAAACACTTGCGTGAAATTCAGTGTTGGTTGGTGGTACCACGGTACTGACGTTGTTGTTAGAAAAGTGTTATTTGGGGCTGAAATTTGGACATGTCATAACATATATAAATTATTTGTGGAAGCAAATAGATTTGGCAAAATACATGACTCTGCCACGAATGGATTTGCCAAGATAGCCATAGCCAATCTTCCCTAACTTACCCTAATTATGTATACCAGATAAAGTTACCAAGTATGTGACAGTAGAAATAACATTGTATAGCACCATTGTTGTTGTTTAAGTAATGATATATCATTTTCGATCATCACTAATCAAAACGACTGAATTTAGACTCAGTTTAAATAAAACATGCAATCCAGATGAACAACGTGTTTATTTTTAAAACTGGTGACCGTGTATATATATAAGCAGAGTAAATACATGAGGAATTGATGGGATTATATACTCAAATTCATCGCATCAGTGAATGACACGATTAGACTATGGGCAGGCAAACAGGTTGCACATGCAGCTACTCCGATAGAGGAATTATTCAATTTCAAATAAAACCGTTCTTCGATCAATCACCAGATTTCGACTAAATTGATGATCACGCTCGCCACTAGTAATCCATGACATGGTGATGATATGTTAATAATTGTTGTTTCTTAATAAACCTTTACACTATATTTGCAATCTGCTTATTGGATCAGTCCACCAGAAAAAAAGCATATATGGCAGGAGCCAGGAAGTACTGTAAATAGTCGTTCTTTACGTATTTTGGAAACGTTCGAATCGAGGATGCCTCATTGTAGCATCAAAGATTCATTAGTTGATGTTTTACCAGCCGTCTCGTTTGTGAAGAAGTCTGCATGAATTTGGATATGGATACATCTCATGAATGCACTGGTGCTACTGGTCATATGGGGAAAATGAACGCATGGATTCAGGCATACACAAAGCATGTAGAATTTTTCGCACCATAGATTGAGTAAACCTTGAATGAATGCTCATTACTTTAATTCAGCTGTGACTGGTTTTCCAGCATGTACAGTTTGCAACCTGTTCTGACGTTTTTCTAGGGTGTCTGTCGTGAAACTCAATTTACAAACCGAGTGTTCATGAAAGAAGACTTAATATGTAAAATTCAAAATACACAAGCACTGTGACATCGGTACAGGTAGCAAGTTAACTGGAACCAAGTTGATTATTATAGTTAGTGATATCCCAATGGTAATTTATATTTGAAATATCAGAAAAAATAGCTGATCGTTTGCTGCAGCAAGTTAACCATTTGATAATCACTTATAAAAACAAATCAATAATCATCAAAAGTCAAAAGGAGCGTTTTGTGGTATAAGACTAATAATCTTATCTATTTTTGTGGGATATCTAGCATTTACAATCAACGTCTATCATTAATCAACACCATCAACAATTATAACCTATATTCTATCATTTCTTGATATAAAGTGCAACTGATTATTAATTCTGAAATTCTAGCCAATTTATATTACTAATTATAGTGGAACATGGAAGAAAGCTAGTCTGCCTACTTTTAAGTGTGATAAAAAATATTTTATGAATTCTGAAATTGGTAAACAGGCTACTGAACACCTAATTCATATTCCCTTCATTCCACTTACATTGCGACAAACCAGTAGCAACACTGTAACGGTGTGTAACCATAGTGGGTCAGTGTGTTAGGACCTAAATACTTTAGATAGTTAGTAAATTCTAAGTTCTAACCATGTTTTTCCCCAGTGCAAAAACATATTTCTTTAACAAAATAGTATCACAAAGTCTGCCTTTGATCTAAGAACATATTTGATATATTTCCACTGTGAGTTCAGCCAGTGCATCTCACATGATCAGAATATCAATACGTACCAAGCGTTTCTACTATACGGGGAAATAACTAATTCAGTTACAGCTAGCTACTCTTGGATTCTGCTACTGTTCCCCGTTCCTTTCCTATCAATCACTAGAAATGGCGACAGATAAAAGAGAAGCCGTGCTGGTATTAAATTGTGTTTTGATGCGTGAACATCTCGGCATCCGTGGTGTATCTGTAGCATGGCTAAGTGCGTACCGCAGTGCACGGCAGATGTACTGAAGTGCTGAGATATTGCACCATATGTTAAAAGTTAATTCATCTCCGTGGAATGCTCTCTAGGGAGCAAGCTTCTGCGTGGGTGCGTGGATGCTGAATAGGCCGACTGGAGTCTTGTTTAGCCATGCTTGGGGGATACCCTATTCCACCTCGTTTTTGTGGGTTGGCAGATAGTACTAGATTGTATTTTTATTCAATGAATGAGTAACACGTGTATGCTACTGGGCGGCACTTAGAACTACGGCTGCTGTATTTACTACTGTATGCATTCAGTGTGCTAGTCATGCTTTTTGTGTATATATCCTTGGTAGTTATCCAATTTTATGAATTCAGAATTTTATTGTAAAAGTATGCTTTGTATTGTATATGATGGATAATTGCCTAAATAAATAAATAAATAAAATAAAATGAATGGTAGTTGTAGTGTGTAGAGGAGGCCAGTGTGCTGGTTTTTAACAGCTCGATGTTTTGCTAGCTGATTCAAGATACACCTTACAAGTTCTTCCACCCCACTCGCTCTTCCTCCACCTTCTCTCTCTCCGTTACCCTCTATCTAGCTTTCTTCGTCTCTGCGTCTGTCTTTATATAAGTCTATCCCTATATCCTTTTCCCTTCTTCCTTTTCTCCTTTACTTCCCATTCTCCCTCTCTTCCTCCCTCTCCTCTCTCGTCTTTCATCTCTTATCTCTCTCCCTGTGTGTCTCTCTCTCTCCTTCTCTCTATCTCTCTCTCTCGTCTCGCCCACCCCTTCCTTCTCTCTCTCTCTCTCTCTCTCTCTCTCTCTCTCTCTCTCTCTCTCTGTCTCTCGTTCTCTCTCTCTCTTCCTTTCTCTCTCTCTCTCTCTCTCTCTCTCTCTCTCGTCTCGCCCACCCCTTCCGTCTCTCTCTCTCTCTCTCTCTCTCTCTCTCTCTCTGTCTCTCGTCTCGCCCACCCCTTCCTTCCTTCTCTCCCTCTCGTGCTTGCTGCTTCTCTGACTATATATCTACTAGCGCCTCCCTCTCACCGCCACGATCTATCGTCTCATGTTCGCGTTAGCCCTCTCCTCGGTTTCCAATAAGCTGAGTGGGTTTCGGCAGCCTAGAACTGCCTCACGTTTAGATTGTTTGCAGTCGAGATTTATGGACAGTTGCTGTACATCCTCGGGCGTCGCACACGCCAGAGAAGAATGGGAAGGGCTGAAATACCACGGCAGCGCATTTAAAGCCTCCGTGCTTGCTCTAACAAGCCCCCACGGGTTGTGCCTGCCTGCGAAGTTGCTAATGAATGAGAGTATTTGCTCGATTATAGGTGGCCGAGTAAAACAGACTGAATAGGTGGATCTAGCAGCACTAAAGGCTCACACACGTTGTAAAACGTGAGCCGTTGATGCACGTCGTTTTATGAAATATGAGCGTGATGAAGTATATAAACGGCGAGCTTACTAGTGTGACTAGAGTTGCAGGTGTGTGCGTGGGGAGGATTTCCAGGCCAGACGCATTAGGCCTTCTTTATACGCTCTTGATTAGATCCAACAGTACTTACAACAAGTACAGAATAACCTCGAGATGGTCATTAGTGACTATATTAACGCGTATCCCATGCAATGTTTTGTTTTCAGTTTTTATATAGTTATGCAATCATACATTATAGAGAAAATGCGACATTGTATCAGGAGTGTATAATATATATACTCGTATATGTATATATACTCGTATGTGTATATATATATATATATATATATATATATATATATATATTATATATATACATATATATAGTATAAACAATTAATACATTCCTGATTGCATACGATAAAGTAGAGCTTATTTTACGGAAGTCCCATTGCCGTGATGTTGCATGTATTTTAGTGCAAATCTGTAAAAAATCACATGTTCTTACACTGGTGCAATGCCTTAAAAATGTAAGTAAACACTAGCCTCTCTGTAATGTCTTTTTTCTAGTCGATGTCATTGTGGAATTGTCACCAAATAAGAAATACAAATGACAAAATCATCCAGAGAGAGAGAGAGAGAGGGAGAGAGAGGAGAGAGAGAGAGAGAGAGAGAGAGAGAGAGAGAGAGCGAGAGAGAGAGAGAGCGAGAGAGCGAGGGCGAGAGAGGTAATGACAGCATAATGACAGACTGAAACACCGGAAGAGGGGGTGGGAGTCAAAGAGCGGGTAGGCAAAGCGACCGAGTAAGCATGTGAGCAGAAAATGTATGAGTGCGGGTATCTACTGAATTGATTGTTTGCCAGCAAGTGCTCCTGCTGTATAGTAGCAGAAAGGAGGTTGACCGCTCATAGCAGCAGCAGTATCACATGGTGAACACATTTCGGGTTTGCTGTCTGCTTCGACTCTGTCGTTACCGGTACAAAGCTGCAATGCATGCTCGTCTTCGTCTTTCTCGACATGCGCGAACACTGTGCAGACCATGAAGAACTGAAGCTAGAAATCAGAGCAGAGATTAATTGTTTGCATTATTGATATCATAGTGTTTGGTGCAGTTGAGGTTTAATGGTTACTACTAAGAACTTCGAGCTAAAGGGTTTGGGCGTTCGAGTACCACCTTGGGCACTGCGGTTGTGCCTTTGTACATGCATTTCTGCCAAGTAGCATTAATTTATGGCAACTATAGTGGGTACCCCATCACTAGATAAGTTGTGGTAAAGTTACAATGTGTTACAATGTTACAGTGTTACAATGTTACAGTGTTACAATGTACAAAGTTACAATGTGGTAAAGGGCAATGTTACCCTGATTGCTTTGATGGTGAAAGAATACCCTGAACTGAAGTCAAGAAATCTAAATACTGTTGCACATTCTGTTTTTACAGTAAAATCAGTTGCCGCTAGAATCCATTTTAGTTGCAGTACCCTGGTGCTATAATAAACACATAGTCAACACATTGCTATTGGATAATCAACCATTGGGGTACCAATAGCAGTTATGATTCAGTATTGTGTAAGAATAACAGTGTTTTGATTACGGTGCCCTATATTCTATTAGTATTTACACAAGTCATATTCCCCTCCAACCCAGATAGATTGAACGTAATTTTTACAATACTTAAATACCCCCTTCACATACACGGATTTTTCTTACGAGTCCTTACGGATCGCACAATTCGTAAAAGTACACGGATCCTTACGATTCAGCCACTTTTACGAGCGATTTACGTGTTGTTACGAGCTAATTACGGTTTATTACGGATTATTACGAGTTATTACGATGTATTTACGGCAAAATTCCACGATTTGTTAAGAGTTGTCACGGATAACTACGAGCAACTTACGGGCATTTTACGAGCTTTTACGGATTGTTACGGATATATTACAATTCATCGAAGCTTTTACGTGTTAGTTGCGACCTGTTTACGTGTTGTTACGAATAGGTACGAGTTAGTTACGAGTATTTACGAGTCCTTACGATTTTTTGGCAAAAAGTATATAAAAATCCTGCAAATCTGGCTAACGCTCCACTAGGAGTGTTCTCAACTTTGATATCATTAATGATTAATGATTGATAATCCAAACCCTAACCCTAACCCTAACCTAAATGACATCAAACCACAAACTAATATATGACCATGCCCATATATATATATCAGCTATATATATATATATATATACCTATTATCTACTCCTGGTACATATATATATATGTTATTATGATCATTAATGACATTAAAGTTGGGAACACTCCTAATGGAGTATCACCCGCAAATCTCAATCTATCATCAACTGACATCCAGAGAGACAACATGGCATATGAGAGAACAACTCTTGATAACAACTGAAAATGACGTGTTCAATTTTGCAGCTTTTCCCAAATCGTACGTAAGCAATACGTAAGAATACGTAAAGTATACGTATCTATTCGTAAAGTGTTCGTAATAACTCGTAACAATCCG